TTCTTGGACCACTGTATTGATGTTTATTATTTCTGAGCCAGTGGAACATACTAGTGTACAATAAAAAATTCTTAGAGGAGGCTGAAACTTAAATGGTAGACAACACACACAGGTTTGCAAAGAAACCCATTTTTGCCATATCCAAATTTACCTATGAACTACATACTAATACATATAATAGCAGGCCAACATTGCAATACTGGCTGACACCTTTACAAGTAAAATCACTCATATTAATTCTTTGGATGTCATGGCTTGAGGAAGTTGGAAGCAGCTTGATAGTGTCACATCTACTTCAGTGTTATGTTCCAATAGTCTCAGATGAAGAGGGGATTCTACAAACACCTCCTTGTATGGTGGATCCCTGAGATGGTGAATCCCTGAGAAATCTCTTCTGCTCAGCTATCTATCAGAAAAACGGATTCCAGCTCTGAAGGCAGGATTTCCCTGACTAACTGGCCTTACCGGCTTGAGGACTCCATAAAGGTGATACTGTACCAATAGAAGAGAACGTGTGTGGCTTAGGGCTGAACTGTGGAGCCCTTGCTCAGAGAAACCCAAGGACTCCACAGATGACACTGTATGCAAACCTTAGTCCCCTCTAGGCCTTTCTTGGATTAACAATTCTCTCTCTCACATGCCCACAACTCAGTTTGTGTAGTCTGGGGATGTAGGCAATCTTCATGTTGATTGGAGCCCACTGTCACCCCTACGAGGCAGACCAGATGAAGAAATAGACTCCATGGAAGGTTGACTACCACTTTTACTTAGACTGGCTATAGTAACATAATCTTGCAAGTCTGATTGTGCTTTCCTTCCTCCTTCTTTCATATTCATGGGAATTAGGGAGGTGTCTGAGACATTTTCGTAATCCTCCCCCATCATTTGGACTCAAGCAATATTTTCCTTTTTGTTGCTTTGGTAACAGATCTAACCTATCTCCATCAAGAATTTCCTGTTTACTCTCTACAGCCACCTCCTGCTCTTTCTTATTGTTGGAATCATAAAATGGTAGTTTCTTAACTTTAAATGGTCTCATATGACTGGTTTGGGACAAGAACAGCCTGGGTTGTTTTAAATAGCTTACAGCTGGAATGGAGAGTGGTGATCTGCAACTCTGTTTTTTAGGGGGTTGGATTAGGAGAGCAACATGATGAAGCAGTGCTTCCAGGCTGGTGGAGGAGGATTTTTGTTCCATCTCATGACCTGGGACTACAAGGATTTCATCTGGTCCTTTATGCTTTTCAACAACTAAATAAGTCAGTGGGAAAAATTATCCTCAGTATTCAAACAGCACATAATCTGACTCATTTTTATCTGTGAATCACAGGGAGCTTTGGAGACCCAGAACAATTGTCTTGAGACTATCTAGCTGAGGTTTAACCTAATATGCTGGGATAGGCAGATATACTTGCCTGCCTAATACACTTGGACATTTCTATCTTTCACCTGCATGCATGTAACAGGAAACTCTTTATAACTCACTATGCCCCCACTTCAATAGTGCACTATTGCTTAAGGATGCTGCGACAGGAGTTCATTTCACATCCTCAGAGTAATATCAGAAATCCCAGATACAACTCTTCTACCTCTGCAGTGATCTAGTCTTGAGAGAAGCAATGCTGTGATAAAAAGTAGCTATGTATTTCTGATATTTCCCTCAATGTTAGTAGAATTTTGTGCTGTCTGTATAGTCTCCAGATGCAGAGAGTTTCTCATGAAACTGTTTCTCATTATAGAAATAAGTATGCTTGTATACTGAATCCTGGATTTTCTCAAGAACATCTGTGAGCCAATGCACTCAACTTAAGTCTAACCTTCATTTCATTTTTAAATGGTAACTCGTTGGTGGACAATTTTTGGCAACAAATGTGAGATTACAACAAATAATAATCCTATATCATTCTGAGAACCATTTTACTACCCAAAAGATATGAAGCCAGAGAAAGAGTAATAAGATTAAAAAGTCTTAATTTAAGTAGTTCAGCCACAAATATAAATTTGTTATAAAAAACGACGGTGTTTAAATAAGCATTCTGAGTGTCCTAAACTGCATGGGCTGATTAGTTGGTGGGATGCAGGGAGGAGTAGATGGGCTTGCAAGGTAGTTTTTGGCTTAGAAATCCATAGAATAATGTGAACATAATCAGTCTTGCAAGATTCTGTCATTATAGCCAATCTCAATACAAGTAGTTTTAGCCTTCTTCTGGTCTGCCTAGAATGGCTGAAAGCAATCTTGCAAGTCTGATTATGCTGTACCTCCTTCTACAACTATAGTTGAGTGAATTAGGGAGGTGTCTGTCTCAGTCTCTTCCAAACATTATCTGTCTGCTGTGGTCTTAAAATATGTTTTACCCCTCATTGTTCTGGCAATGAAGCTTGAATATTTCCATCAGGTCATAACAGGCATAATACTCAAAAGCATTATGCAAAAGACTTGATTGACCAAAGCTGTGATGGGCAGTAGTGTCAGTATCTATGGGCTTGTCTGATTATACTTTTTCTGTGCTTTGTATAATGTTGCTTACTCTAAGAGAGAATAGCATAATGGATATGCATGAAACATTAAAATATATACTACTAAGCATTAGTGTTGATTATGTAACATCAAGCTGATGTCAACTGTTAGTGACCGTATAGACAGACTTTCTCCAGAATGATCTATCCTTAACCTTGGCCTTCAGATCTTTCAATAGTGCACTCATCACCACTGTAATTAAGTCTATCCATCTTGCTGTTGGTCCTCCTTTTCTTTTTCTTTTCTTTCCATCTCTCCCAGCATTATAGACTTCTCAAAAGAGCTAGGTCTTCACATAATGTGTCCAAAATACAATAATTTGAGCCTGGTCATTTGTATCTTGAGTGAAAACTCCAGATTTGTTCTGATCCATTTGTTTGCTTTCTTGGCTATCCATGGCTTTCTCAGGAATCTTTTTTAACACCAAAATTCAAAAGCATCAATACACTTTCTATCCTGCTTTTTCAAAGTCTAATTTTCACTTCCATAGAGTGTGACAGGGAAAACCATTGTCTGCATTATCCCAGTCTTTGTAGGTATAGCTACATCATGGCATCTGAATAACTTTCCAAAAGTCTTCATTGTTACCTTACTGAGTACTACTCTGCAGTATATTTATTTACTGCTAGTCCATTTATGTTGATAGTCAATCCTAAAAAACAGAAACTATCTACCACTTCAGTATCATCATTCTCAATTCTAAGGCTGGTTGCTGTATGTACTTGCCATTTCCAATGGTGTAAAGCAGGGTTGTGTGCCAGCCTCAGTCCTGTTCAATCTGTTCTCTGCTTACATGTTGTCACATGCTGTCCAGGTCTAAAGGAGGGAGTGTACATCAGGTACCGATTGGATGGGTCTCTTTTTGAATTTCACTGCTTGAACGCATGGACGAAGTGCCTCCATACAGTCATTCAAGAAACCTAAAACCCTCTTTGCTGATGACTGTGTGCTTCTGGTGCACAAAGACAGTGATCTATAGTTGATGCTGAACAAATTCTCAGATGCTGCTATGCTCTTCAGCCTATCAGCCTGAACAAGACTGAAGTACTTTATCAGCCTGTGCCAAATACTAACCCTGCAGAACCAAAAATCACTGTTGATGACACCCAGAAGACAAATGTAAACAGCTTCAAATACTTGGGAAGCATCATCTCAAGCGATGGGTCTCTTGACAAAGAAATTGACTCCAGGATCAGCAAGGCCAGCCAGGCACTGAAGTGGCTGTGTACTAGAGTTCTCAATCAATACAACATCCGTATTTCCATAAAGCTGAAAGTCTACAGAGCTGTAGACTTCTCTCTCCTATATCGATGTGAATCCTGGACTCTGTACAACTGGAGAAATTTCATATGCGTGCTCTCTGCTCCATCCTTGGCATTCGTTAGCAAGACCGTGTCTCCAACCTGGAGGTCTTAGATTGTGCAGAGTCCACCAGCACTGAGTCCCTGATTATCAGAGCCCAATGTGGTGGGTGGGACGTGTCATCAGAATGACCACCATATTCCTCGCCAGTTGCTCTATGGTGTATTGGAGTCTGGGAAGAGACCTTGAGGTCGGCTATGCAAATGCTACAAAGACACTGTGAAAGAAACCCTACAGCACTGTGACATCCAGCCAAGGGCACTAGAAGTTGTGATTGCTAACAGAACCCGCTGGTGAGCCCTGTGCTACGAAGCCTCCATCAGCTTTGAAGACAGGCACTGCCGAAAACTGATAGAAAACCATGAGCAGCATCACAGAAGAATACCCACAGTTAGTGCAACAATGGACTTCCAGTGCCTCCATTGTGCTAGACTCTGCAATTCCAGACTGGGACTGCAGAGCCACCTCCATGTTCACAGATGAACTGCACAACAGCATGACTTCTTTGAACCTGAAAGACTACCACACACTGTTGTCATTTGTCTATTTCATTAGTAACTAAAGCTATCTTGTCCCTATTTTAAGCAGTCTCCAATCTTCCCCTTCAACAAATTAATCTAACTAATGGTTTAATCTGCTTCCTGAAGGGACATATTTTCTTTTTACAAAGAGACATTACCATTATCAATTGCTTATATTGGTACATATGTGTCATGTGGTAGGAAAGACCAAACTCTTTTTACATGTCCAAGCCACATCATATTAAAGCAGGTTTTGGCAGGAGCCAAGTTTATGTGCAAAGGTCTTCCAAACAGGAGTGTAACCCAAGTATGCATGAGGAAAAGGTACTTGTAGAGCAGAAAGTTTGGTGATGCATACTTTGAAGCTGAGTTCCAAAAATTACAAAATAAGTCTTTAATTTGACAAACATTTGCAGAAGTTGATTAAAAAACAAGAGAGAGAGTCTCTTTGAAACAAATACATAGAATCCTGCCCAGGATAATTCACTGTAAGTGCCAAAAGGATAATGATGGCCTAAGCCACAACTCACTTATATTTGATTCATTACATGGAAGGTGATTTTAAGAAAATACTTTATTTCATGGAATTATTAATTTTTTTTTATAATTTTCAGCCACATATTGGAAATATATTGAGCATTTGCCCTGAATTACTACAATATATAAGTAAATAAAACACTTTTTATTGGACAAGTTATCTGTGAAAGCCAGATTAAAACAATGAAGCACAATTCTGATTTTAATATGAAAAATACAAGAATTCTAGAGGATTCTGGAATTATGAACATTATTTTTGAATTCTCTGTCAGAAGCCAGGTAGGAAAAAGAAATTAATTGCTGACAAATATTCCAGGTTTAAATGTGCTTATTAATATCAGATATTAGATACAGATAAGTACAGATAACATACTTAATAATAACAAGATATTTTCTTGTTCATGATGGATATTTTCTTGTTCATGATGGAATATATGCTGAAATAATGGGTCCTTAGCTACTGGCTGAACCAACATGCTATGTGAATAATTTTGTTTCCAGGCAAGTCCACCACAGGTACCATAATTAAAGCTGGTGCTTTTTTGTCCATTTGTTCTTCAAGGTGTCCTTGGAGTCCTATAATATAAAGAAAGAGATGCAATGATACTTTCTATTCATTCAAGCTTTCAATATTTCACTATTATTAAAAAAAAATTATAAAGGAACGTATTTTCCTGAAAGAAATGAAAAATAATCTGATTAAATAATCTACTCAATATATTAACCCCCACAACAGAATTTCAAGTAATTAAGACTGCAGCTCTATGCATGAATACAATCCATCCAATACAGTGAGACCTGGTTGTGACTAAACAGGCATACGTTCAGAAAGCAGGTAAGTTAACCCATGTAATAAATGGTGACAAGATAGATGTTTATGAAGATAAGCTTAGTAGTTCAGGATATAGGAGGGTGGCTCATGCTTTTGGAAATACCTCTGGGTCTTGAGCTATTCCTAGATATTCCCAATTGTGGGGTTATTTGCTGCCTCTGAATATAAATGGTTGGGGAACAATAGGCAGGTAGGCCAGTGCTTCTCAAACTCAGCAACTTTAAGATGTGTGGACTTCAGCAACCAGGATTTCCCAGACAGTCATGCTGGCTGGGGAATTCTGGGAGCTGAAGTCCACACATCTTAAAGTTGCTGAGCTTGAGAAACTCCGAGATAGGCTATTGTCCTCTGCTCTTGCTTCTGCCCTCTGACAGGCAGAATGCAAAGAAAGAAAATGATAATCAAATTTTTGTCTTTCTGCAAGTGTTTCATATTGTCAGCTGAAGACATGGAAGACTGTAATGTCATATATGATTTGTTCACTTCAGGACTTATTAATTTGATTTCTATGGAAATGCCCTGATCAGTGATTAGAGAATGGGAGACAGCATATTTTTCAATAATTTCAGTAAAATAAAATAAACTGCAGCTAGAACTCAATTCATTTATGTCATTAATGCATAAATAATTGATTATGTGCCATCAAGTCATTGTTGACTCTTAGCGAACACACAGATAGATTTTCTCCATGATGATCTGCCCCTAACCTATTTTCAAGTCTTCCAAGGGTGTACCCATCACCACTGTAACTGAGTTAATTCACCTTGCTGCAGGTCATTATCCTCTTCTTCTCTTTACTTCCAAATGTCTTCAATAATGGCGGTCAGACTTGCAAGAGTCTGTTATTATAGTCTATCTCAATAAAGCATAGTTCTTGTCTTCCTGTGGAGGTGGTATTATTATTTATTTATCTAAGTTTATTGGCTGCCCAACTCCAGTGGACTCTGGGTGGTGAGATGATTTTCTGTCTGTCCTACCTATGTAGATATCAATCTTGCAAATCTGATTAGGCTTTGCCTACTCTCCTTCTTATAACCTGCTGCATCAGGGAGAAGCCTGCCTGAGTTTCCTACGAATACTGTCTTGCTTCTTAGGGCTTAAATAAAGTTTCAGCCCCTTTTGCCTAGGTCAGTGTTGGGGAATTCTGGGAGTTGAAGTCCACTCATCTTCAATGAGTTTGGACAACACTGGCCTAGGTGATGGTTCTTGCACATATTTCTGTCAAGGTTATTTCCCTGACTCTCTACAATAGGTCCCACAAGTGACATTATCCTTATACAGAGACCCCTGTGCCAATTCCTCTTCAGTGGTTCTGAGTCACATTGGACCATGCCTGTCTACAGCAGCCTGACACTCCTTTTTTCCCCCTAGCCATTATCCTTTGTTCTCTTTCTGTCCAATTCTTTTGTACAACTCCTTCCTGCCAACTTCAACTTTCCCCCTCTGCGTGACTGTCTCTGTGAAAAATTCTCTGCGTGACTGTCTCTGTGAAAAATTCTCATCCGATTCTCTTCTCAAACCCTAATTTGATCACCTAGAAGCGCATTTCGCATGTTTTCAAGATCATATGACAGGATGGAAGACAATGTTTCACTTGTCCATTCTGTTACAGAGACAAAGTCGAATTTTGGATGCTATAGATCAATAGCTATAGTGTTGAACAGGGATCCCAAGGTTACGGTTTTTTTGGGGGGGGGAGGGGAGGCATTATTTGGTTGTTTCTATTTATCAACTTAATATTAATTCATATGAAGCAAAAGAAAAGCTTCTGTTTGATAATATGGGAGATATGTATACGTATATCTTAACAATCTTCAGGGAGGGTGCCTAATTGATGAAGCCAAAAGAGCAATATCCACAATCAAGAGGAAGTTATTGGGGAATTCTGGAGAACCTCGTGATTTGTGAAATTTGGAAACATTTGAAGAAGAAGAAAAAAAAGAAGGCTGAGAACCTTCTTCATCTTCCTCAAACTTTCCAGTAAATAGCAAAGTAACTTTAAACTGTGTAACTATTTATTATATTTGCATTTTGCTTTTCTGCACTGAGATGTTTTGTGGGTATTGATTGAGATTACAGGTAGTCCTCATTTAGTGACCACAACTGGAACTGGCAATGTGGTCATTAAATGAAGCAGTCGCTAAGTGAAACCACAACTGTGCTTACAATCTTACTTAGCTTTCCTTTGCTTTACAGACCTGCAAAGATTTAAATGCAAGGATTGGTCACAAAGGTACTTTTTCATCACTGTCATAACTGCTAATGGTTGCTGTATGAGGCAGTTACTAAACAAGGGCTACCTGTATATCCATGGTGCGTTAGTTTTGCATCTTTACAGCAAATCCTATCGTCACCTACTCAGATGCCCCATTGAGTTCAATGGGGCTTTTTCTCAAATAAGAACTACTGTATATGCAGGAGTGGATAACCTTTTGTGGTCAAGAGGCTGCAGCAGGTGGAGCAGTGACTCTGTGTTGATAGGGCCATATCACTCATGTCCTACTTTTGGGAATTTCCTTTGTCTGTTTGAACTAAGTTAATATATTTTAGTATTTACACTACGGTATTTATTTATTTAGTTAGTTTTATATCCTGCCTTTCATTCAGGAGCTCATGGCAGTATACAGAGTGCTCCCTCCTCACATATTTCCCCATCACAACTATCCTGTGAAGAAGGTTAGGCTGAGAAAGAGAGTAGTCCAAAGTCACCTACTGTAACTGATGACAGATTTGGTCTTCCCAAGGCCAGTCCAACAGCTTAATCACTACAGCACACTGGGTTTTTATGTGTTTCCCCCATCCCAAAGGCAGAGAGGCTTCCAGGGACACAGTAACAGGACCTGAAGTGGCAAAAATGGGACTTGGGGGCCAGAGATTGACTACTTTGGGCTACATGTCACTCTCAGAGTGCTGACTAGTCTTGTAAGACTGTAAATTTAAGCAGTTTTAAGTTAAAAAGAAGACAGACAACATTCAAACATTTTCCTCTCCTGTTTTTCACAATGCTATCAAGACAGGTCTGCTTTGAAATAAGTACCACTGGATTCAAGAGGCAAAAGGATGATTTTCTCCCATTATCTATAGGTTGTGAACAATTTATGCAGACTCTTCACACTGATTTTAGCTTTGTAAATAATAGAGCAGTCAGATCATTGTCCAATGTCTTGCCATGCAGATGTCACAAGGCTAGAAAGCTGTTAACAGATGGAAATGGTTGATGGCAGAGGTGAATATTGACAAAGCTAGACCCAAGATCAATAATCACCACAGAGGTCAAAAGGACTTCATGTTCCATGTTCAAAGCAACTACTCATTTTATGTATTCCATCAATATTCTCATTAACTAAGCAGTATTGCAACGATGAGGTAACTGGAAATGTACCTGCACTTACAATCCTTATATATTTGTTAAATGATTATGAGGCAGAAAGGCCACATTTAGCAAAAATTGCCTTCATTTCAGTGAAATTCCTTGTACTTCCCCTATATATTTTCATTGGATCTTGGCCATAACTGTCAGTGGATGGGAGCTATTCACTAACATGCATTATACACATCAAATTTTCTAAAGGACTGCTATTTTGCTCCTCAAATTATTTAAGAAGGTTTCTTAAACATATAATGAAGCAAATAACAAAATCACAGCATAGAAATGGTAACACATCTTATTTTCAAAGAGAACAGCTATCAAAGAGAATGAAACATTTAAAGTGGAATTTTGTGGTAGGTAATGTGGCATTTAAATTTTAAACTTTGAACTTGTCTATTAAATCACAAAAATAGCTACACTGAGTGTTCCATACTTGAAAGGAAAATCAATGAACATATTTGACTTGATCAGATTGTTTAACTGAAGTGTGCAAAAATTATAGAAAACCTATACATACTTTAGGAATAAGGCTCTTATTTCCCAGACAGAGCAGAGAATAACAGCAACAACAACATTTTTATCCCGCTTTTTAAAATATAGACAGTATTTGGTCAGCTCAAGGCAGCAAACATATCTAATACTCCTGTCTCTTATTTTCCCCACAACCACCACCCAAGGACTAGTTGCAACAATATCCTCTTAGCTGGGGAAGAAAATATTTAATTGTTGCAGCAAGAGAGCACAATTGTTGATAGAATATGTGGGCTTTTCCCCCCACATGGTATCACTATGCTCCTTTCTCTGATATATCTTCTGCATTTAAACCAAATGTACTGTAATGTCATTTAGCACATGTTTTTAAATCCCAGAGCTAATAAAGCTTCGTTGCTGCATGCGCTTTAAAGGGAAGCTTCACAGCGGATCAAGTTCCTAACAGTCAACTAAGAGTTCCAGTCCCAAAAGAGATGCCCCTGGTGTGCTGAGCACTTAACCCTTCGACCAGTACCAACATGACTGTTCACAAATTATTGATGTTTCTAAATCCCTGGCAGATTGCAGTCAGGTCTTGTCTCCCTTGAAGCCCAAGCATATGGCCTCTAATGGGACGGATTAAAGGGGGGGGGGACCCTACAACCACGCACATATTCAGCCTTTGCCACATGAACGTAAAGCCACAGAAACAGGAGAAGGTGATTGAACTGGACTGAACACTGCTAAATACATGATTAGCCCCTTGTTATGGATCATTTCCATTGATCTATATCTGGTTTTGCAATACAGTTTAATTAAAGCTGTCTGGAACAAGCCTGTTCCCTAAATGATCAGCTACACAGTGAAAACGTGAAACCTGAGGAAGGCTTGGGGCCCTTTAAA